ACACTGCCACCCCCACAACGCCTATCAACGCCTGACGAAGCTGAAACTTGGGTGGTCTCACCATCTGCTGGCCATATGCGCCCATACGTGCGTCAAGAGATGTTGTCCAGCACTCACAGTGCCGACGGTGTGTAAGCTCGACAAGGCTCGCAACTACAGTAGTCCAGGGTGGCTTGTGCGTAGTGCGTAAGTGAGGCGGACGGCCCTCTGCAGACGGGGATGGGGGAAGCTGAAGAGGGCCCATGGCGAGCGGATGACTGCATCAGAATGCCCGTTGGTCTCGAGGCTGGGGAAAGCCTTGATTGGGCAGACTTTCCTCAGGCTTGGAAACGATGACAATTTCGCCAGCTCACAGGGAGCGTGGGGCAGCCAGCTTCCGAGCTGATCTTCAACACCCACCGCCTCCACCTGCTCCCGCTCCCGCTCCCGCTCCACCTGCTCCGGCAGCGGCAGATCTACGTCGAGCTCGATCTCGCTCCATGAACATCCGACTCTGTATGATTGGGCAGCAAGGGACCGGTAATATCAGAGAAGTTTGACTATTGTCAGATGATTGCGGTTCAATATGGTTGCGCTGGGAAAGACTCTCACCAGGCAGCACATCATCGCTGCAAAGAGCAAAGCGTCTGCACCGAGTGGCACCGTGAAGGAGACACTGCGATCTACTTTCTTGTCGTAGGACACGTAGTCAATTAGCACCCCATTCATGGTCAACGAACCTCCACGTTGTCTTCCGGACTATCGACACCGTCGCCCGAATTGCCAAAGCATACGTGAGCCTCGCATGGCTACGGATTGGCGAAGAAACCTCGCTCACCCGTTTGCAGTCTATGATGAATTGGACCTGGCCATTGTCCGAAGCTCGGTTCGACACCATCACCTGCAGAACCTTTCGCGAAGAATCGATGGGCTTTGCGACCAAGACTGGATTGGTTTCTTGACTCTCTCCGGCCAGATAAGCGGTTATTTTGGTCGAGGCGAAAGCTCGGTGTTCAACATCAAGGCTCAGAAGGGGTTTGCCATCGCGCGAAGTGATCACTAGGAAGGAGACGGCGCTCCTTTTAAGCAAGCTGAGTCGGCATCCTGAAATAGTAAGCCAGCCTCGACTTACTCTGACGACCTCCATACTTTGCTGACACGTGAAAGATCACCTCGCCAGTGAGGCGGTCCTACGGAAGCAAACAAGACTCTTGCTGAGCCGACCTGAGCGCGCAAACTTCAATGCGCAAAGGTAAACGCACGGTGACTGTGGCTGCGTGGCCAGCATTTTTGAAGGGATTCTTGCTTCGAAGAGCGTCCAAGCTGAGCACAAGAGCTTGTCCATGTCTTGTGAAAGCCTCGTTGATGTGCACGGGCCCCTTTGCAGGTCGAGGTCGCGGTAGCTGCCGACTATGAGTAGATCCCATCGTCGATGCGTCTTGCTCATCGAACGCGTAAAATGGGGTCCTGGATGATGATGGGCAGGTCTCACGCTTTGCGCATCCAGGACGCTTTGTAGCTCTTGAAATCACGAATGCAGATCAAGCAACTCCTGACTGACTCACGTGCGCAATGGAGAGTGTCCGAAGAACCAATCACTCTTGACTGATTCAAGATTCAAGATTCTGAGATGCACGTCAACGCCTTCCCCTGAACCAACCTCGTTCATCACACGCTTCTTACGGCGATGCAGCAGCGAGAACTGGTGCGCATGATGCGGTGGCTGTGCGGCGTGTCGAGCGTGGCGATTTGAAGGTTTGGCGCAGCTGACGTACCGGTATTTGATGGATGCATGCTGCACGCTTCGCGCTCCTGTCTCGTGACTTGA